TTAAGTTTCTTTAACTTGAGCAATAAAAAGAATGCCCTTTATTATGATGTATATTCAACACATTTTTAAAATAATACAAATCCTTTTGAAATATTATACGGATGTTCCCTGAGGGCACACCCCAATTAAATGTGCAAGGCATGGGCGTGTACAAAATGAAATTGCCAAATGGACCTCAGAGAGGCCGATCAAATACAAGCGGGTGAAAATGAGCATTACGTGGAAGAACTTGGGAAACCGTCGAGGGCTAACAGCATAATGTAGAGTGCTGTGCAGAGGCGGAGGACAGGGCTGAGCAGAGAGCCAGTGTTCCCCGGACATCGCAGCGCGTGCTGGTCTAGGGAAAAGCAGCACCGGGCTAGCCACTTGTGCAGAGGGGCTGAGTGTCAAAACGTCACACCCGTCATACTGCCAGACTCTCAGAACTGGGCACCAATCTGTGAGAAACTCTAGAGGATGTTAGTTTTAAGAACCTATTATTAATGAATTTTATTGGGTGACTTAAATCTATTCATACAAGGGACAGCATGATGTGGTGGAGAGAGATGGTCTCAGAGCCAGAAAGAGGTGAGCTTAAGTGCAGCATTGGGGACATGCTAATTATGTGGCTCTGGGCAAGACGTTTAGACCTCTCAGTGGTCCAGGTAAATAAGACTATCTATATTGCTGAGAAGGTATTTATTGGTCTGCTTGGGGGAAGGTTTCCTCATCTAAGGCACTCCCTATGCCAATGAAATTCCAGGTAGAGTGCCTATGCCCATCTCTATATCTACCCATGTGTATGTCTTGGATTTCTTCTAGTCTTTGTGCTCCATGAGAACATGGATTATGTCTTACCAAAACTTGGTAGTCCCCTAGCATCCAGCATGACACTAGGCACACAGTAAGTACATAATGAATGAACATTGTGTTATAAGTGTATGTTGTATTTTATCACTGTCTCTGATAATCTTAGGTCTGCGTAATTTGTTAGGTGACTCTTACAAGAGCAAGAAAATGCCCCAGCCCATGACAAATGTGGAGTTGCTATAAATATTCTGATCTGCCAGCCTGTGTGCTTTGTCCTCAGCAACTCACCTTGGGGAGATGAACATTTTACAAGGCAAGATGGGGAGACCTGGGGGTGTGGAATGTAGAGACCAGTACCTTTAACATCTTCTATATGCATCCATGATCTCACTGTTGTGGTTGCTCCCCTCAATGAATAGCAGAGAATACAATCCATTGACCCCTTCTCATCCAGTGGGGCAAGTGTCCATGTACCTTCCTGTCCAAACTTCTACTAGCAAACATTCCAATTTGCCCTAGCCTAGTACCCCTTTGTGAGTACTGTTGATAGAGTGTCCAGATGCTTCGTGCATGGATAGCTGCTGTCATGGTTCCTGGACTGCTTCCATGACCTCCAACTCCTCTGAATGTCCTCAGAGCTCTGGGAACTACCAACTGTACTGCAGATTCTCTGTTCTAATTCTCTGTTCCCATAAGGGAGAAAAACCATGAAGATGAAAAGTCTAAACTAAACCATCACCCTTTCTTGATTAAGATATATCCATGTATGTGCACGTGTGTGGACACACACACACAGAGTTTTCTGATGAAACCAAGCTGGAAACTGTTTCCCTAAGCAAAGTGGCAAGTTGACCGGGCTGTTGGGTCTTACACCATGGCTCTCCTACCCCACAATACCTTACCATGTTGTCATCCAATGCCGTTTCAGTAGGAGAATGCTACACGCAGACTAAATGCCTAGAAACAAGGAGATGCTACCAGATCTGGGTGCTCCGTTACCAATCTCTCGTTGGTGTTTAATGGAATTGCTGAATTCAGAGTTTTGTGTGATCAGATACCCACGAAGACAGGTGATGCCACTTTGACTGACTCATCACGTCAGAGGAGCTCTTGTGCCATCAACCAGCAAGCGCATCATCTTCTGAAGATTCGGGAATAGCTCTGATACTCCCTTTTCCCGTGGGCAAAGGCTTCTGTCCACATGTTGCTGCAAATGTGATGTGTGAATTATTCACACACTGGAGCTGAAGCCAAGATGACTTGTAATGTCAGATGGGAATGTGTGTCCTGATGGGGTGTGCGTGCGGGCGTCACATCCTCCTTTTGCCCCTTCCCCAGGTGGTGCTGGACAAGAAGAGGAAAGAACATGCACCAGGAAGAAACTCGGTTGATTTGTTCTTATTCATCTTTCTGGTGACTGAAAAACCGAGTGCTTTCATTTCTATTCACAGACATTTAATGAACCTCTATTGGCTGTACACTGGAGGACAAAGGAAGTCTAAGGCAGCCCCTGTCCTCAAGAAGCTTGCAATCTAGATAGGGAGACGGGGAACAGCAACATCAGAAGTCAGTGCTATAAGGCCATGTATGACAAGTGTCAAGTGAATAATATAGGCTTTTTAAAAAACATTTGATGTGAGGTCAGGGAAGGGAGAGTGCACTGTGGGTGGTAGGTAGGTAGGAGGTGTAAAGGGTGAGATTGAGCTGGACTTCATAGAACAATTATGATATCAATACATACTGAGGAAAGAAGAGGGCAGACTAATTGCAATGAACAGCATAAAAAGAAAGCCGAGAGGTGGGAAGGAGAAGGCAGAGGAGGAGGAGTGGAGTGTATTCATGTCCCATTCAAGGGAGAGTGAAGAAGATAGGAAGGGTGTGTGTGTGTGTGTGTGTGTGTGTGTGTGGTGTGTGTGTGTGTGTGTGTGTGTGTATGAAACATATATGTGTGTATATGCATATACATTCTCTAGGAGAAAGTCCGGACTTCTCAGCCAAATACAATCTGGTCCTGACCTATCTTTCCAAATGGGAAGTTGTTAAGGTTTTGTGGGCAGCACAGTGACGTGATGGGCAATGTTCTAGGATGAGAAAAGAGAGCAGTTGGGGAGGGGAGGACGGGACTTCGATAGTCCAGGTGCAAGTTATAAGGCTTGACCTGAGTGATGGCATGGAAAGGAAAGGATGACTATGAAGGCCATTGCAAAGGCAGCATATCCAGGACCTAAATCAATAGTACTGGCTACCCTTTCCTATAATATTCAAAATGCTCTCCCAGGAAACCAACAGTAGCAGCAGAAATTTATCAAGCCTATGATAATCTCTTGGTTGGTCTGCTGGGGTCATGCTATTAGCCCTCGAGCCACATATTTTGTGCTGGAAACAGACACAAGAAATGCCACAGACCGACACCAGAAACACCCACCTTTGGTCACTGACTACTTGGCAGGGTGCCAGCACCAGCCTGTGTTCAAAAAGAGGGGCCACTGTTGAGAAAGAAAAAAAAAAGAATAAAAAAGGTACACACATCCCTTTGGCCTTGGTTGCACATGGAATACTCTGTCATTAAAAGCAAATAATGGTGGGGGGCAGCTAGGTGGCACAGTGAATAGAGCACCGGCCCTGGATTCAGGAGGACCCAAGTTCAAATCCAGCCTCAGACACATAACACTTACTAGCTGTGTGACCTTGGGCAAGTCACTTAACCCCACTGCCTAACCAAAAAAAAAAAAAAGGAAAGAAAGAGCAAATAATGCCATTGTAAATCTAGTTCTAAAATCCCAAGGAAAGGAGAAGTAAAGGCAGGTGCAATTAGAGGGACCCTGAGTCAAAATGGAACTACTAAACAACAGGGCAGGAATCAGCTTGAGAATTCAAATGCCACCTCCAAAAAACAGACCAAGTCTGTGTGGCATCCCATTTTGGGAAAGGTAATCTACTAAGGCTCCCATGGTACCTGCATCATAGTGCTGGTCACATATTTTCTCCTAACCCGGAAAACAAAAGAATATAAAAACATCATATGCCTTAGCACTAGAAAGGCCTCCTGGTTTAACAAAATAACTACAATGATTTTTAAAAGACGGCTTCCTTGAGAGGGTCAAAACAAAACATACAATGGTGGTCAACACTGTCGTCTTACACTTGTTTTCATTCGGGAAGAAGAGGTGACCTTGGTGATCGGCTAGCCTCTGCTTCCCAGTGAGAATTCCCCTCCAATGCTACATTTCTTGTTATCAAAAATCCTTGTCCATTAGTAATGTTATTGTGTTAAACAACAAATATTTTCAATGGAAGGAAAGAAGCAATCAGCCACCTCCCAATTCTGCAGCACAGTGATTACACTCGTTTTCTCAGATGAAAAGATTATATGAAGCTGACTAAGGCACAACATAACTAATATTGTGAACAAATACATACATATACAAATGTACATATATATGATGGAGCTCAACTGATCATCTATTGATCTGTCAGAGATTAGAATAATAATAGAAATCTAAATAGTAGATTAAGACTTACAAAATGCTTTATAAGCATCATTTTAACCTCACAACAGCCCTGTGAGGTAGGTACTAAAGGTATTGCCATTTTACAGAAACAGAAATGAGCTTAGAGAGGGTGAGTGAGTTGTCCATATTCATATGTCTACTCGATATCATTTGTTCATTTAACAAACATTTGTTAAAAACCCGCTATGTGCCAGGCACTGTGGAAGGCACTGAGGATAAAAAAAAAAAAAAGAAAAAAAAAAAGACAGACAGTCTTTGCCCTCCAGGAGCTTATGTTCCACAGTGGGAGCATTCATCCTACTGAAATGTAAGAGAATCACAGGCAGGATTCAACTCCAGATCTTCCTGTCTCCAAGCCCTACTGGCCATCTACCATGCCTCCTTACCTCTTACTATCACAACCAGGTGCTCCTGGGACACATACATCACACTACTGGGCAATTATTTCTTCAGTGTGTCTAGTCTAACATTGGAGAACCCATGATTAAAACCAAATTGGGAAAATTCTCTTTGGAGATACCTGCTTCCAACTTTTACTAATTCCAACTATAAGAACACATCAGTGTTACTCTGACTTTGTCTTTAAGGCAGGCGATGGCATTAGGGCATTGGCACAAGGGCAGCTTAAAAATGGTGATGACGCTAATTGACAGATTCCTGCTGGGGGCGTCAAGTCAAGACAACTGAATATAGAGCTTGTTATGGTAACCAAATTGGAAGTCTTTTAATTTTACAAGATATCACTTGCTCTAAAAAGGACTTTTCAACTCTTAAGTTCCCTGAGGGCATTCAGATAACTTACAGAGATTTATACTTGAGGCAAAGCTGACAGATACAAAATGCTGGTCTCTCATAATGGTTAATATGTGTATCTCTGTCCTCAAGTTCTTCCTGAGATGTTTAAACAATGGCAACACACACACAAAGGAACTAAAATGTGAACATCACACCCATCCAAAGATGCCCGGAGAGGTCTGTAGTCAAGGCGGTTCCACCAGAGTCACTAAGGTGGCCTGCCAGGAAGACGAGGATGGAGCCATACCTCTCGCCACTTCTAGGATCATATCCACCATCCAGAATGAAGGAATGATCTTCCTGAATGGGAGAAAATGAAATTTGGGATGGAAGGTCCCAAACTCTAAGATCCTTCCACAATGGCAGTGGGGGCATCCAACAAGAAAGGTGGTACTCTTGTGAGGTCCTTTTCACAAAGCTGCCAGTGGGCATGTGACTCCGAACTTGCAAGGTCTGTTGAATGAGTCACTCAGGCTGGGGGAGCGCTTCAAGGAGAGTGCTTTGGTTTTCCTCAGAGCAAACCAGAGGCTTCTGGAATGAATCTGGTGGTTTACACTCGGGAAACTGGACTGATGATTCACAAGATGCTGGATTTCAGTGACGGTCAAATCTGTTGAGTCTTTGCCTTCTCATTTCATCTTCTGGAGGAAGACTGAATCCATAGGGTGGGGGACCACTGTTAACACCAACTGCAATAAAAAAAAAAAAAGTGGAGTGAGAATCAGATAACTCCTAGGCTACCCCTGGATACTGATCATTCAACATACATGCTTGGGTGCCGAAACCTGGTACTGTTCTACTTTGGTGCCCTCTTTATATTAACAACAACAAATATTGGAAGTTATATCTGAAATTGAGGCTAGTTAACTTATGCTGACTCTGGAGGCCATTAAGATTAAACCACTCATTTTACAAATGAGGAAACAGGCCCACAGAGGTTAACTGACTTACCAGGGTCACATCACTAGTCAGTGTCTGAAAAAGGATTCAAATTCAGCTCTTCCTGTCTCCAATCCCAGGGCTCTAGCCACCAAGGTGGAACAGTCAGATGTCTTAGGGTGTGATTTGCCAAATGCTACTTACACAAGGCTCCTGTCCACCAGAGGTAGGCAGGCAAATTAGTCAAATATTTCACAATAAGAGTGAGTGGGTAGTTGGGAGGAAGGTGAAGGAAGGGACTTAAAAATATTTTTTAAAAAGATATCTGTAAGTGCCAGAAAATTACACGACTCCTGGCATGACAGTATTTACTTTGAGCTGTTGATTCACTAAGAGTCAGGTCTCAGAGCTTTCAGTAGGTGAAGAAATACATAGCTTTCCCCATATCATTTGCCCTTCAATGTCTTCTCCTCCCTTTCTTCTTCCTCCTCCTTCCCATCTTCTTCCTCATCCTCTCCCCTCCCCCCTCCTCAGAGCCCCCAGCTTTCCCAACCTCCCCTGCTGGCTTGGACTCCACTTGCCTGAATCGCACAAGCACCCACAGGGGACCCTAGCCCATGTGCTGGGATGCTGTGCTCATGTATTGATCAGTATATTCAGGCTGGCAAATGAGAAATGCAGGCAGAATGTTGGCAAGAGATCATGTGGCCTTTTTCATTACTAAAATAGTAATGGGAAGACTCTCTTGCTTTGGCAAACAGGTAACAACAGAGCTTTTGCTGACCCAGGGTGGTTCAACCCTCCGCAGACCTCCTCATGGAGTCTCACTTACTAAGTGCTCACTGCATGTTGCTGAGTGGCGTGCCAGGCACCGTGACAGGGGTGCAGCTGGCCCCCTTCCTTAAAGGAGCTAACCCTCTAATCTAATAGAATGACTTCCATCTTTTCCAGGGGTGAGTCATGTGGAGGAGATGCTGTTAGAATCACAAAAACAGGGGCATTTTCCAAGTAAATGGAGCAGCAAGCCAGGCAACTTTCCATTCCCTAGAGAATAATGTCTGAGCTCCTCAGCCTGGCATTCAGGGCCTTCTACAATCCCAGAATCTCAGCTGGAAGAGGTTTTATAGGCCATCCAGTTAAACTGGTACCTGGGAGTGACCACCCAGCCTCTCCCTGAAAGGAAGCCTTCAATGGAGGGGGAGAGAGGACATGGGGGGGAGGGGAGGGGAGGGGGAGAGGAGGGAGTCCACGCCTTCCCCTACCTAACTTTTTTATTTCTATAGAGAGCACTACAATCCTATGCATCACCCAGATTTATAACATGGTAACTTTTCCCTCCTTCACCTCTTCTGTACACTGCCTCTCTGACTTGTTGAATCAAACCTCCCCATCCCTTGTCTCTTATTTCCACTCACTTTGGCACCAGCACCTCTCACCAGCACTATTTTAATCAGTTTTTAATTGGTCTCCAGCTTCTAGTCTCTCTCCCTCCCATCCACATGGCTGGCAGAATAATCTTCCTAAGGCTCGGGTCTAAGCATGCCACTCCTTTGCTCTAAGTCCTCTGATGGCTCCCTACTGCCTCTAGGTTACAATCTGAATGCTTAGGCAAGGCATTTAAGGCCTTCTTCACTTTTTTCAGCCTTATCTTATGTCATCTCCTTTGAGGTACTCTATGTTCTATCCATTATTCAAGTTCCTTGAACCTGACATTCCATCTTGCACTTCGATGCATTTACAAAAGGCTGCTGCTCATGACTAGAATGACTCCCTCTTCATCTTCAAGGTACAGATCAAATACCACATCCTCCATGAAGACTTCCCTCTTTTCCACCATTGTGAATTGTTCCTCCATTGTTCTGCCACTGTTCCTCAAATTACTTTGGATTTACTTATCTGTGAATACGTTTGGCATCCTCCTTCCCTCACCCTCTCCAGTGAAATACCACTGCCTTGAGGACACAAACTAGTTTGGTCTTTTGGGGAGTTTTGGTCCTTGTATCCTAAGCACAGAACCTTGTAGACAAGAGGTGCTCAATAAATGTTTGTTGAGTGGAAGTGAATTGCATATATGAAAAACAAAATTTAGAGGGAGGCCTACAGCTGGTTGGGTACATCTTCTCTACAGAGACCTGGACCTGAATTCAAATCTTGACTATGCAACTTACTATCTATCTCTATGACTTTGGTCAAGTCAATTAACCTTTCTAGGTCTCAGTTTCCTCACCTGTAAAATGAAGAGGTTAGACTAGATAACTTTTTTTAAAAATGTGGTTACTTCTGAAAAATATATTTCATTCCATGCCCTGAGTCCACCATCTCTCTGTCAGGAATTGAAGGGCACACGTGATCAGTCCTCTGAAATCATGGTCGGTCATTAAATTGATCAGAGCTCTTAAGCCGGGATTAGATAACTTTGAAGGTTCCTTCCAAACCTCGATCTATGATCCAAAGAAAGACCTGGATGAGAACTGCGTGGAAAAAGACGACATGGATCTTGGATCCATAGATCTATTGAAGGAATAAGATCAAAAGTATTCCTCGAGGCTCTGATATTCAGCATCTTCTACATACAGAGGACTGCTAGAAGTGTGGGAAGAGATACAAGGATGAAAAAAGTCCCTACCCCCAGAACCTTATACTCAAGTAACCTCTACTTCACACAGCAGCCCCTCCTCCACACAGGATGCTTATCAGCCGTTCAGAGGTTCCAGACCCACCTGCGAATGGTATGGTCAACATCCTACACTACATTTGGGGACTCGTTTGTATGATGACGTCCAGATTCTCCTTCTGCTTACTTTTCTAACAGTTGCTTTTAATAATAACAACTAAATATTTTCAATTGCACGGGTGACTGTGGTTCAACACGTGGCAACCCGTTCCAGATGTCCGTGGAACTCACAACTGGCTGTGAGCAGATTCAGAAGCAAGTTCGACGTGGCAGCCTCACTTCAGAGAGTCACAGGGAATGAGTTCATGCAGGCTGAAGTCGACTGCATGGTCCCAGAGGGGCCCACATTGTACTCTGGCCTTGTCTTCGGCTTACTCTTAAAAGGAAGGGCGTAGAAATAAATATTTCTCTGACATGGGGAGGACAAAAGGGCAGACCGTGGAGTTACCTTTCAAGCTCCAGGGCTTGGAAGGATGATGGTGTCACAGGGAAGGCTGAAGAAGAAGATTGTTGCTGGGACTGACATGCTTGATACTGAAGGGCACTGGAAACTGAAATACCCCAAGAAAACACAGCAGTACAAAAGTAAGCCCTGTAGCAAGTCAAAAGAGTAGACACATTCATCCTATGTACAGTAAGCAGAGAAGGGGCTGTTCTTTTTCAACTGACAAGAAAGGAAGATATGAAATAGACTGGCCATCATTTTTTTTTTTGACTTGGACCTGTGATTTCATTGGTGTGGGAACTCCTAGTATGGTAACTCCCTCTCTCATCTGAGTCTTATAATCTTCAAGAGTGGTTTTTGAAGACAGCCAATGAGAGGATAAGTGGCTTGTTCCTGGTCACACAGCTAGTATATGTCAGGCTGTTCTTAAACTCAGGCCATATTGATTTCAAAGCCAGTACTCTATCCATCTTGTCATACTCCCTTTTATCTTTAGTGCCGGAAGGAAGGAAAGGAAGGAGGGAGGGAGGGAGGAAGGAGACAGAGGAGAGAGAATAGAGGGAGAGCAGGGAAGAAGGAAGAAAGAAGGAAAGAAAGGAAGAGAGAAGGGAAGGAAGTGAGGGAGGGAGGAGAGAGAGGAGAGGAGGGAAGAAAGAAAAAAGGAAGGAAGAAAGGAAGAGAAAAAGGAAGAGAGAAAGGAAGGAAAGGAAGAAAGAAAGCAAGAAAAAGAAAGAAAGAAAGAAAGAAAGAAAGAAAGAAAGAAAGCAGGAAGGAAGGAAGGAAGGAAAGACCTTCTTTTCCCATATGATTTACCACATCTTACACAGTATGAACTCTTAAGGATCTTGCCCAGGATCACAAAGCTAGTAAATGTCTCAAGGTGGGATTTGAACACAGGATTTCCCGATTCCAAGCTCAACACTCTTATCTGCTGCGCCACTTAGCTAGCTGACTGCTCGAGTCCCTTACCACCCTAAATCTCTATGTTCAAGAAAGACCTGGGTTCTAGTCTCCGCCCTACCATCTATTAGCCTTGTGACCATGAACAAGGCACTCTAAGGCTGTGCTTGAGCCTCAATTTCTTTATTTGTAAAATGGGGCTAATGATGACTAAACTGCTTAGACGGAACAAATAAGAGAAAAACAAGCAGAGAAGACTCGATGAATATGAGGATTAAACGGATAGAAGGCAACAGGACACAAAGGTATTCTATTTCTGAGATTCCAGTCTCCACCAGCTGTTAACCGTCTCCTTAGTTTGATTTAGCCCTATCACTGCTGAGTAACACTTTATCTCCTCGCATGTGGTGGTTTGTTCTCCACGTGGCTATTTTCTATGCTGGGGGTAGTTGATTAAACCCTTTAGACCTTTACTTCAGGCTTCTCCTGGGTTCCTGTGAAACCTACTCTTGAATGCTCTGACCCAACACTCCGGAGTCCTTCACATGACGTGTGGAGTCTGGACTGCTTCATAGCAGGGCTGGGCTTTCTGCTTTCCTTCTTTTGCTCTGAACATTGTCAGCTGAATTTGGACCTCTGCTGCTTCCCAGGGAATTGCAAATTTGATGTCAGTCAGTCCATCAACACCTTGTTTCTCAGGCGCCTGCTTTGTCCGTCAGTCTATCAACACTGTTTCCCCCGAGTGGTTGCTGGGTACTGGAGAGGGGCAAGGCTGCGGGAGCCTGCTTGGC